CAATGGAAAGTAATTTTTAATAGATGATTAACACTGTAATTGCAATTTTTAGTTTAATTGCTGATTAACACGGCAACTTAAAAATTTATACTTCCGACCGACGATCATCACGGGACCCATACTATCTCGAATTTCATTGGTAGTTTCCGCCGGACATTGAGTCCTCGCTACACTTCGGACAATAAATCATCAATACTGTAACTTTAAACCAAAAAAACCATTTGATTTATATGAAACATTTATAGCGTATTTTACTTTCAATAGTTTTTCCGAAATTTACATTGTACTCTAACAGCCCATTTAGATTGCGCAATATTTATTTAGTCTTACACGAATATATCAGGTATGTAACGGGAATACAAGTTTACAAAACATTGCATGACAGAATGACCACATGACGTAATGACCATGCACATTTTGCGCAAAATTCCTACAATTTGGGATTGGGGCGCACCCAGACCCCAAACTCTGGCCAAACTTATATCTTAAAATTTTATTAATAACCTTTATTTAAATTTTACTAATAACCTTTATTTAAATTTTATTAATAATCTTTATTTAAACAAATCAGACATATACTTAAAGCTATATATAATATATTTGCAAAGTTTTAAGATTGTTTTTTTTTTGATTTAATTTTTTATAAATGGCAATTTTATATTTGGGGTTTGGGATTTGTCCGGGTTTTGCCAACTAATATAACCATACATACATGTTTTGTCCAGTGTTACGGGTGTGGGCTCAGAAAGTACATATACGGACGTAAATCACTGTTAAACAAAACATACCATAGGTGCATTTGGTGATTTAGTGATTTAATGTTGTGTTTTAGTGTTTTGGTTTTAGCGATTTAATTTGTATTCTAGTGAATTGGTATTTTAACTTTCTAGAGATTTGCGCTCTAGTGGTTTAGAGGTTTGGTGTTTTAATGATTTGGTAATTTGGTGTTTTAATGTTCTATTGTTTTAGTGCTTTAGTGTTGCAAATTATTTTTATAAAGGTTTTTAGGTATAAAATTTTGGTATTCTAATTATTATATAGCCTATTCTAGATAATTAGATATCGATTCGTGATAAGTATATATTTTAAAGATGATTTCTAATTGTACCCGACGGGTATGATAACCGGTATAAAAAAATTAAAATTCATTAATATCTCAAAATTTTATTAAGGAAACCATATGTAGGTATCCTAAGTGTTATGAATTTAATTTTGCATATAAATACATCTTTAATTCTAATCTATTCTAACTTACACTAACTTAATATGGTATTTTTCTTCTTATATCGGGTATCATACCTATAGGTATTTTTAGAAAATTTGTATTGTAAAATACAAGTATTCAAGCTCAAAAATACAGTGTATCAGGATTGTAATGCTAACACGTTTAGAAATTAGCACCAATACGATAAAGTCATTCTGGAGTAACTTTTTATTAAAGCAATAAAGAGTTTTTTAAGCAAGTTGCTGAGAACTAAAAAATCTTGGCAAAAATGAATTGATTTCTTGATTGTGTCATATTATGCCTGAAGTTGAAGTCTAATTTGTTGTTCAAGAAATCTGCATCACCAACTAGGCACACAGTTTAGAACATTATTTACAAAACACGTTATGATTATCATGATGCACCCGTTATTAGCCTATCATAATCACTATTTTTAGACAAATTGACAAAGTCAATAAATCAGTAAACACTTAAACATTATCGCGCCTTTCAAATTACTGTGTCCACTGATCTTCATTTAACACACAGGGAATCAGAAATCTAGAAAAAAAATGCAATACGTGATTGGCTAAAAATTATTTTTAACCAATCACAGATTTGCATTTATTCTAGATTTCTGATTTCTGGTGTGATGTGTGAAAATCAGTGCGCTAAAACAAACATTAAAACGCTAAACAAACACTGAATTGTAATTCCTTACAGATAAATAAATTTTATTTGTGTTTTAGTGTTCTAATGTTCTTGAATTCTAGTGTTTTATGTTTTAGTGTTGTAGTGTTAGCGTTCTAGTTTTTTAATGTTTTAATGTATTTGTACTTTAATAACTTTTAAATGCTAGGGGCTGCGGAATTTTTTCATCTTTTGAATAAAGATATCTTATCAACAACCGTTAGTTTATAAATATATTTTCTAATGTTTAAAAAAAATTCAACACGGTTTTTATTTTGACAGGCATTTTGAATTTTTGAGTAACTTTATATTGAGACGTATAAACATTACGGAGCTTTTTAAAAGTTAATATATTAACATTATATAAAATATATTCTTTTTATAGAAATAATGTACAACGCTGACGCTAAAGCACAAAATCAAAACACTAAAATTTTAAAATGCTAAAACATTAAAACACTAAATCACAAAATGGGTCACTTTGTGTACTTATGGTACATCGTACATTCATACAGTTACATAAGTGTCATTATTCATTTTACATAAATTATATTATGTTTTTCTTGTAGCCGTGATATAATTTATGAGTCTATATACGTATGTACGAGCATATCCAGTGTTGTCATGCCCAATGGTCCAATGAGTTTAATCTGCCATTGGGCGTCCAAACTCAAGATTTGATTGGTCATTGAACGTTCAAAAGCAATGATTGATTGGAATTACAAATATTGTTAATGTCAAAAATCACGATTGGACATTGGATTAGACGTCAATCCAAAGATGCCAAATGTCCAATTTTGTCCAATGTATATTAACTGGGCATATCCATAATTAATGCTAACAAATTTGAAATTTGAATATTTTTTTTGCTTAAGTAATATTAATAAAGGCAATAATATTTCAATTTTTTTAATTTATTTTTTTTGTTAAATGTTTAAAAAAGTCGAACCTAATTCCAAAATTGTTTTGTGAAAACTCTGCATGATGCCTGATAACCCCTAACAAGTAGTCATTGAAATATTAATTATATTCGGGTAGGTAAATATATGCACATATATGACTCATTCGGATTTTTATAAGATGAATAATCCGAAAACTCGTGGATTTTAGCCTAATTTTGAATTGACTAGCGCACTTACTAATTTAGGTTTACTAGTGCATTGTTAATTTAGGTTGATAAGCTTTGTACAAATTTCTAAATTACACCATCGTATTATGTAACCTATAGTTTGGTCGAATTATTGCAATTTACCTAATTTTATGTTTTTTTTATATTGTATAACTCTATAGCGAAAATAAATGGTTTTGGTACAAACTTTGATGTAAGTAGATCCGGTATAATTTTTAAGTTTCCTGATAATAATAAAAGTTATAAAAGGCTTAATTGCCATTTACAAGTCGCCAGATGATTTTTGTCATTTTCTATATCATCATCTAAATATCATTTTAAATACTGGTTCGTAAAAATTAAACTTTTTCTCATTGAAATTATTCCGTTATCATTTAATTATTTTTATTATTTTTAAATGTCTTATAATAACTATCAGATTTACCATGTTATTACCAAAATCCTTTGTGATTTCTATATTATTGAACTTGATATTCGAAAAGTTGGCGAAAGCAGACAAACTGCATCCTGATCTTTATGAGAGTAAAATTAATTTTATTCTACTTCTATATCTTTTATATATAACAACTTTTATATTCACATTTGCGAATTTCAATAGGTGATCCGGCTGGATTCCTAAGCTTGGTCATTCTTCATAACACCTTCATGTTCCTCAACTTAGTTGGAACATTTTATGTGCTTAATAGAATCTATCATAGGTGGATATATACTCGTAAATCTTTGCCGATGTCCATTAGAGTTCCCTTTTATTTGTGTATATTTGGTAAGTTTTACTTTATTTTACTTAATTTTTCTTTATCACACGTATCCATTTCTTTTAATTATCATTGTTTGATTTTCCTTTACAGACATTTTTCTTATAGTTTTTCAGGTTCCACCCGCTGTAAGTTATATAATTTAAAAATAATCTGTTAAAAAAAGATATCGATAAACAGGGTGGTTAGTTTAAGGCAGGGTTCTATCACGTGGCTCAATTATATATCAATATATCGATATATATCGATATATATATAAACTAATAAATTCAAATCATCAAAATATCACGTGAACGCACCTTGTTTAAAACCAGCGCCAGGTGATCAAAATCTGCTGAATGTAGATATCACGGGAATCACCATTTGTCGGTCATTTGCTACGTCTTTGGTCAATTAACTTTTTTTTGAAACTTAAATTAGATATATGTTGCAACATATCGCACCACTTTACCTGAATTGACTTGTAAAGGCATGATCGTTGCAGCAGGCGGTTTTGGAATTTTTCACAGAACATTTGTTGCTTCTGTTTCTGTTGTTACTTATCTTAGGTAATGATAATAATGATAATAATTTGTGAATATGTAAGCCATTTCCATATTATTTATTATATTATTTATTATTTACTTTTAAAATAATTTTAGAGTATGTTGGAATAAACATATAGATACGGGCAGATTTGATTGGAAATTACTTTTACCTATTTCTGTCCCTTCTTTTATTTTGTTTGCTTTTAGTTGGAACGCTTTCGGTGCTGTTAAATTTTGGTATAAACTATTATTTTTTTTAACCTCTCATATTATCATTAATACTAAAATTCTAGTTTTATTATAGGTGCGACGTAAAACGTGATAACACACTCCTATTAATAGCTTCCGTAATAACAACATTATTAGTACTCTTTACATGTTTATTCTGTTATCTCAAAGTCATTTTTACCGTACATGTTGTTAAAAAACAACATTCAACAACTAGTAATTATACAGTTAATAAAAAAATTCCTTCCTTAAATGTGATTGAAATTAAAGTCATTAAAAAGATTTGTGGTTATGTACTTGTGTTTATATTACAATGGGTAGGTAATATTTTTTATTTAAATAATTTTCACCATTTTTCTTACAGTATTAAAAAATTTTTTTAGATCCCAACAGTACCATATGAAGTATGGCAAATTCATAGTGAACCTCCTACTTGGATTTATTGCATGGTTGCTGTGGGACTTAGCATGGGTGTGAGTAAATTTTCTCTCTTTATCAATTTATTCATATACTCTCTATTAATTTTATTGTTTTCTTTTTTGCTTTGATTAGGGTATTGGAAATGCAATATTTTATGTAATAAATGAAGGTTGGAATAGTCGTGCCAATAAAAGTAATGAAGTTACTCCTGTTGGCGAAAGCAATGATGATATTGAATCTAATTCGGATGAAGAAGGTGGTCATATTAGAATTTCCCCTTCGGTAGTAATTGATAATCAAGATATTAAAAGTAGCAAAAATAGCAAAAATAGTAAAAATAGTCAAAATAGTCAAATTCAGAATGATTCTAATAATAATTCCTCTAATATTGATAAGTGAGGAGATATTTTGATGCCGTTTCGTCACCATAGAAATTGTTTCAAATAATTTAAATGTTCGACTTTTTAAATTTATTCAATTAAAGTAATGGTCTAGAACAGCAAGCACGGAGTATATTACAGTATTAGATAAATTTTTAATTTATACTAAATGCTGAAAGCTGTAATATTTCTGTATTGTAATTTAATTTAAATAAGATTTATATGTAACTAAGCGATAATGATATGATAGTCAAAAGGTTTTCTTACTGTATTATATATAGTTATTTTTATTCCGTCACAAATGATAAATCCAGCATATGCTAAATACTATAGTTATTTATTTAATAATTCATATAATAAGCGTAGGAGAGTCGCGTGATAATTTTACTATCTAATTATGGCTTTTTACAAATCTGCATATCTAATAAATAAGATAAATTAATTTTTTATTAAGTATACTTTATTATATTTTTTATAACATTTAAAAAATAGGATTTTAATTATAATAAAATACTGTAGTTAAATTTTATATAAATAAACTATAAGATCGTTTCCTTCAATTGTTCTCATGTGATTTTCTTCCAGTCGACATACTTTCTTTATTACCTTTAAGTAGCTGTCATCACACTATATTTAGCATATTTAAAATAAATCCTCTTAATATGAGTTGTAAAATTAGTTTGCACAATATAAATGAAACTAGACTACTGCTAATGTTGTTATATAAAACCTTTTTGCAAAATGACAAAAGACGAAACCTACCCCTCAAATAACAAACCTTTGGCAAAACTGATAAAACCTGCGAAACCTTCAAAATCTGCTAAACCTCTATAAGATATATTTCTTATAGATGGCGAAATTTCTGATAAAGTTAAACCCTTTATAAGGAATTAAGCCTCCGGTAAAAGATCGTACCTTAAAGGCTATGTTATTGTTTTGATGTAAAGATTATTTTGGAATAATTTTTGATCAAAAACTTATCTTTGTTAATATGTGAAGCCATTGTTTGGATGCGAACTATTATTTAGATGCGAAACTACTGTTTAGATGTAAAGCCATTGTTTTTGTATAGTTCTTAATTAAAAATGATGCTATACTTTAAATACAAAATTATAATTTTTGAATAGTCTTTGATTAAAACTATATTATTGTTTGGATAACAATGTCATTATTGTTGTATAATATATATAATTTTTTTTAGTTTACAATAAAAAATCTTTAGATTACTTATAATTAGATGTATAACAATATAATATTGATGCATAATTAGTTTATTATAAGAATTACCAGTTTATAAATTAAGTATACATATTATATAAATATCTTGAATTTCAAGTAATTAATTAATATTTAAAATTTATGTTAAAGTAAAATTTACATACTAAATGTTATTAGGATTAGAACAAAATCTTCGAGTTAGGGTAAGCATTTGCAAGATTACAAATATTTAAATATTAATTCGATGTACGCACAACATATGCAAATATCAAAGCAAAATTAAAGTTTGTAAATATTTTTTTATTTGTATTAGAAATTATAGCGCTTTTCAAATTACTGTGACCAGCAAATTTCACGTATCACACCAGAAATCAGGAATCTAGAAAAAATGCCAATCTATTATTGGCTAAAAATTATTCAAATAATTTTTTAACCAATCATAAATTGGCGTTTTTTCTAGATTCCTGATTTCCGGTGTGATACGTGGAATTTGCTAGTAATTTGAAAAGCGCTGTAATATTATACAGTAGATTTATAATTATAAAGAATGTTAGATATTTATTTTATACTATTTAAAGCTATATATTATTAAATATAGTTAATTTATACTTTATAGAAATATTATAAATAAATATATTTTTATTAATTTTGTTACCTATTGTTATTTTGTTATCTTTTATTAGTTTTGTTACCTTTCACTAGTTTTGTCACCTTTTGTAGTTATCTGTTTTGTCACCTTTTGTCAGTTTTGTCACCTTTGTTATTTGGTTATTTTAAAATTTTTTGACAAAAGACAAAACCTAGCTTCGACTTTTGTTAGCGTCAAAACCCTTATGTTTTGTCTATCAACATTAACTGCTGCCATAAAAAAGAAATTTTATTGTTTTCACCTTGTAAATTTTGTTAATGCACATATTTATTTAATTTAGGTCTGTAAATTACATTAAAATTTTTAGCAAACTCTTTAGTCTGTCATCCCAACAGATTATCTGAATCTAATTCAGGACAGGATGCCTCACGCAATGTAAATAAAAGTATGTTGACAAAGTTAAAATATTTAATATAATTTTTTATTTAATTTTTGTGTTTCTCTCTTGTAAAATTTATGCTTATCTGAATAAGTTTTAATTATAAGACAATGGAAAGACGAACAATTTTGGCGTAATAACAGTCATAATCATGTATTGTACAATAAATGTAGATTTCAATGGAGTATTTTAACGAATTGAGAATGTCTCATAAACTAGTGGCCGAATTTTCGCATCATTCAACTCTTATCAAAATTTAATCACTGGCTTATGAGTTTATGAGATACCTTATTTTGTATCTCAATTCGTCGCAATACCATTTTAATTATAATATTTTTACAAAACTTGATTGGATTTAGACGATTTTACGCCAAATAATTCTTTTTATACCAGGAACGGAGTAATGAAATCATGAAGTGTATGGTTTATACTGCATTTCAAGTGACATTGGTCCGCAAAATCTTAAATTTGATTGGTTAAAGTAACATTACTTATTCATTACGGATTGTTTATTTTTCACATAACATTTCATCACGGCTTATATCCATGTGTATACGATATAAAATACAACGAGTGAAGCCGTCGTACTAATCCATTGAGTGTTATAATTTACAGCTGTTTTCATAAATTCTGGAACGTCTGGCAAAAAATTGACCGACCGAATATTTGCGATTCGATAAGTTTGTGATTTCGGTAATGATCGTTGCCGAATCCGAACCTATCGAATCGGTAAATATTCGGTCGGTCAATTCTTTGCAAGACGTTCCAGAATTTATGAAAACAGCTGTAATCAATTAGAAATTGCACATGCTGGCAGTTTTGCCTCCCGGTTTCATCAATAATTAGACATTGCAGGCGATATGATCATTACGACATTACCGATTATTAATGTTTTATTTTAGTAAATTAAGAAATTTTTTTTAAGAACTTTAAATTTACTCTTTTCAATGAAACAAAGGATTATATTTCTGCATCTATAGTTTAGTATAAATGCATTGTCGGATACAGTAAAATCGTAAGTTTTTTTAGTAAGTGACAACAGTCACAAAGAATTATCACACAGTAACACCTCCATAAATAAACTATCTATAAGTGAACACCCTCCCTAAATGCACGCTCAAATTCGGGCCCAGATATATACATGACTTCTATGAATGCACTTTTTCTTGTGGTTCTCTAAGTGCACGTTGCCCCAAGAGCGTGCACTTATAGAGGTTTTACTGAATATGTACATATTACGCTCGGGTAGTTATTGTTTTGATGATTATGAAAAAAAAGGGTTTGAGGTGGCCTGTCGGATGACAGTCAAAAATATTAATTTATAACTACAAGAGATTTATTTTCACATTTCATCAATATTCTCAAAATCCACATCATGATGGATATTTGCACAAAAGAGATGATTATATTTCGTCTTTTTAAGAATACTTCCTCGATGAGAGACAAAACCTAATTGGATTGGTATATAGACTATTGCTAATTTTCATCCTAGGTGATATCACCCGGTTGTATAAAAGCCAATCAGAATCTTGTGCAACCAAAACAAAGCGAAAAAAAGGGGGGAAATGCTTTAATAACTCAAAATCTTGTTATGAAAACTATGTTTTGACTCTAAGCAAAAGTTTTCAGCGCCAAATTTTACGTATGCCTAAACCTTCTTACCCTAATCCAAGACTGACCTAATCCTTAATCTTAATAATTTTAATTTTAGTAAAACTTTATAATACCGGGTGATACCACCTAGGGTGAAAATCGGAATAATATAACTAGTACTATATATTATATGCCATTACGTTCGGTATAAAAATGATTCGAAATATCACACATATGCGTCCCTAAATAATGCGCAATAACACGCAAATACGCGTTATTACGCACTTATACAGCATAGTATTAATCAAGTTATAGAATTATAACTCGTATTTCATGTATGTATCTGTCCCAGGGTGGTAGTATAAAACAGTGTAATTAACTAATACAGGATATATATAACCATCTGGGTATGTGGTTCCACCTAATAATTATAATATATAATTAAATGCTATAAATATAAGGGTGCTTATGATTATTATTATTAATTATTTTAACTTACATTCTGTACTCGGTGGTGCTGCACCACCTTCAGTTTCTGTAACAATGAAATAGGTAACGTCTGAAAATGCTCCTTTTCCGTTGTTATCCTGTTTATTTTGATATAAATGTTAATCAGGAATAATTAAAGTATTTGTATAATAGAATTATGAGAATTACTTTAATCGGAACAAATTCACAACGAAAGTCCTTTTTCGGATTAGGCGATAATGATGTACGAAAACCATCAAGAGTCATGGTCATTGTTGAATTATCATGTTTTGGAATGGCTGATCTAATAGTAATATCACTGTCTAAATTATTATGAAAAATGAAATAATTATTAAAATCTGAATGTCATTTAGATTTGTCTCTATTAACTATGTTGTTTTCAATAAATATTCAAAATTTATTGAATTCAAAACTAACTAGGAATAAAAAAATGCGAAATTTTAATTCTGTTCAAGTTTATAATATTGACCAGCATTTTGTCATCGACTAATTCAGAGTATTTAAAAAAATTTTTTTTATTTAATTATTACTCGCCTCTGAAATCTATAAAAGCTACACCTGAATGGGGATAGTGGTTGAAATCTTCTTTGCGATTGAAATATACTGCACGAGCTTGATCTAATAATTACATAAAATAATAAGCACAAATCGTGATATATCAAAATAATATCAAATTAACTACATATTTGCT